TGATCATTCCTGGCATAGTAAACCATGTGATAGTCGGATTCAAAATGGTCAATACCAGTCCAATTCAGCTCATTAATGCCTAGGCTATCGATGTTTATGCATTCCATTTTATTTTTGACACTTTCCAATTTTCCTGGATTCATACTTCATACATTCCATATTCCAATTATTAATGGATATTTACAGCTCTTTTTCTTCATTTTGAGTTGTGCCCCATCATCAGCAAATGAAGATCCTGAAGGCTTTACTCCATTCACATCACCACAGTGAACTCTACTTTGAGGAGGCATCTCTTCTCCAGTCATATGTTGAATGCCTACCAATATGAGGAACTCATCTTCTGGCATATGTCTAACAATATTCTGGTGCTTTTCATCATGTTTCAATATTCAATATTCTGGTGCTCACAGTGTTCCACTGCCATTCATAAGTTTTCAGTGACCAGATATTTGTAAGTAATTCCGTCTCTCCTTCTCCCTAGTTTAGCTTCATCTGGAAGCTCAGCTGAAACCTGTCTACCACAGGTGACCCTGCTGGTATTTAAAATACCCATGTCATAGCTTCCAGAATCACAGCAACAGGAAAGCCACCACAGTACAACAAACTGACAGACAAGTGATTAGAAATAAGAATATAAGGGTCACAAGTCCTAAAGTACAGCTTCCCCACACTTAAGCTGCATTTAGTCATGAGAATGCACATTGTTCTTACCTTATCAAATAAACCATAGTTCCCATCCCAAACACAACAAGGAGGAGAAATTTCCCTTACTGGAATTATTAGGATCTAAACCAGAGTATGTAGAAAATGTGACAGTAAAATTTTCAGGTAGATTTTGATATGTAGACCCCAAGTAGTGGTGACTACCAGCTAGGGGACCCCACTATCACGAGGATGGTTTCATAGAGCTATGCCCCTGCACCCAATTATACCAAGAATCATAACCTGATCTCGGTGTGCACCCATATCTTATGAAATTATATGTATATGAGGAGTTTTCCTTTCTAAAGCACTAAAAGTTGCATTGAAAGTTTTGCAACTTTTAGTGTTTTAGATTAGTGTTGGATTCAATTAAAGTCCACCATGTAAAGGAAATTGGTTGAAAACATTCATTATCCTTGAATGAGTTTATGGATTTAGGGATTATTTTTCCTTGGGTGCTTTAGTAAAAAGAGGAAGATTCTGTGATTCTTTTTTGCACAACAGATTCCCCTGAAACCAAGGCTTTCTAATTCCTTCAATGAGGAGAAGGTCTTACACACATACCCAGAAATTTGTTAGGTTTTCTTCTTTTCATAGGAATCCCACCAATGGCAACAACCATACAGAATGAAGGGGAGAGAGAACCACTAGAAGTTTTTAACACCAAATAAGTGGTTCCTGTGTCTACTAAAAATTGAATAAACTTACCTGTCACGTTTGTCCACAACAACCTGGTACTCCTTGTGAGAGATCTCAACGATGGGGGAGCCTTCATTGTCCCCCAGGCCCTGTCAGTCCTCAGATTCTTCAGTAGCCAAGAGAGTCTGTGACTTTCACTGTGCTCTCTAGGAAATGCTGGACAGTCATGCACTCAATGCCCAGACTTATTGTATCGAGCACATGGTGTTTTAGGTACTGATTACTTTTTCATCAGGATTTAGCACTTATGGCAATGGTGTCCAGGTTTTCCACAAAGGAAGCAATTGTTGTTCATCTCCTTGCCCAGGTCGGAGGAGGTGGTTCAGTCTGAATGCCAAAACTGCTGCAAGAAGCTTAACTTTTTGGTGGTCCTTCCCTGTCACCTCCATATTCTGAATGCTGTAGACAATGGTGGCTACTTCTAGTAGTTGAGATGGGAAAGTTTGGAGATCTAATGCTAGTTTTTTTTAATTTTCTGTGGATCTCAGTTGACTATTTGGTAAAAGCAGTATTGATAACTATAATAGCTTTGCATGAACTGGGGTCTATATTAATATACTTAGTAACAGCCTCAACCAGGCTGGGTTTTCATCCTTCTCTTGAATGACTTCTGTTAATTTAGAAAAATTGACAGGCTTAATCTGGATCTGTTTCATTCTTTTCGGAGGCAGAGTATCATGTGGTTTTCTTGCAGCTATTCCTGTTTGTCCTGTTGGTAATTCCACAAACAGAAATAGCTGCAAGGAAACACATGTTTTCTTTGAGCACCATAAATGCTTGAACATAGGGAACCTCTGACTACTATCCTTCCCTTCTGCAGAATAGTTTAATTGTAAAAGATTATTGTAATTTAGACTTCTTTATACTGGCAGTTTCTTTTGCCAGTATATATACCCAAGGGTATATTGGAGCCAAGCAGTATTACAGAAAAATATTAACTTCTTTTTTTCACAGGCTGTCAAAAGTAAGGCTTTTCTAATTCTTCAGTAGGCGTCTCAAAGGGAGTTACTAGGGATCCATGTATCCTATCCCATGGCACCGGAGAAGAGAGACTGAGTTCCTAGACAGGGATCTGTAACCAGGTAAAAATGCCCCCAGGGAGATGTTAGGGTATCCCCTGGAAATTCCCTACAAAGTTGGAGGTGCTAGAACCTCAAGTTTTTCTGGAACCATTCTACAGTGATGGTTTCTGACTGGAGCACCTCTGAAGAGGAACCCGTCAGTCTCTTGCTGTGGATCAAAGTATCGATTCCTGAGTGTATCAACTTTAGGCACTGGCCAGGATCTGGAACTTTTTTAACTCCCACTTTGCTCACCTCCAAAGGAAAAGGAGTAAGGCCAGCCAGAAAGGATTGGTCAGCCAAGATTTCCTCATGGGACTGAATTCTGTTGGTAAGGATTTTGACATAACTTTCTAAGAGATAGAACTTACAGGGAGTCCTGTCTTTGTTGAGTCTCATCATGAATTTCTCCTCCACCTGAAAACAGTAACAATAGCTGTCTCTTGGAGTCTCCCAAAAGTTGCGGAATAAGGATTTCTGAAACAAAGGAATCCTGAAGTAGAAACTAAGCACATAAGGGGTTGGGGTGGGGCTTAGTCTGGCTCCGTCTCTGAGTTTGAAAGAGGCAGTGGTTTCAAACAACACCAGCCAAGCAAACAGGTATGTTGTTAAGTGCCGTCAAGTCGGTTCT